CCTTTTTATATAAATATACATAATCATAATATTTGTCAATAATATTTATGCAATACATTGTAAATAAAAAGGAAAAAAGCAAAAAGCACGTCTAGTGATGGATATGAGGGACTTGCATTATACGCGTGTGGGCGGACCTTCAGCTTGCAAGCTCTAGACTTTGGGCCAAACTGCAAGCGACACTGAGCATTGATGTCGTAGGCGTCCCCGGGGAGGTCCCGAGGGTATCCTTTGCGCTTCAGGGGGATGTTCTCCAGACACCAACCTTTGCCCTCGCTACAGGGGCAGGGGCGTAGTCGTGAGGTTCAGGGGTGAAGGGGCAAAAGGGCGAAGAACGAATGGGCGAAGAGGGTTAACGGACAGAAACAGAAAGAACTTGTTAAGTTACGTGAATGTTGTGAAATCATCCGCACCTGCCCCTCGCCAGAAGAAGGAAAAAAACCCCCAACAAATCCAACAACACAAAGAAACGAACCCCGAAAAAACAAACAAAAACCCACAACCAAAAATATTTTTAAAAAAGAAGAGAAAAAATACACACCAGAACACAAGCGGGACCCCCCCCCTCCCGAGAATCTCAACAAAATAAAATCCGAAAAATTTATTATAATTAACGAGTCATTTCTTTGCTGTGGTTAAATTACGAGTGATTACTAGAAATATTAATGGCACACAGCAGTTTCTCAGCTATTATTCAAGAGGTGGTTGGTGGGTACTGTGCTATGGTTTATACCTTTTATTTCCATTCCGTTTTGATAATACCTCCATCATTTCCGGCCTAAATAAGTTGTTATCATGACGATTCGCTGAACCCTACCCACACCCCCCTTCCAGCAATCCCCTCCTTCTACTTTTCCTTCCTCAGCTGTATCAGTTGATGTTCTATCTTTGTCTCTTATAAAATAACGAAACCTCACTTTATGCCACTGGTTCTGTAATGAGGCCAAAAGATGATTGATTGGGGAAAAGATGGAGGGGTGAAAATTAAAGAAACGTAAATTCTCGGAAAACTCAAAGACAGCCTTTTTCGTCCGCCTGGTAAAGTTGATTTCTGTTTCGCAAGTAGCAACTTCTATTTTATAAACAACCGCCCTTTTCTCAATGTAAAAAATTGTAATACATCAGACAGAAAGATGCGAAAGGCAAATAGAATACATTTGCACATGTAAGAGGGGTATTACTCATAAATGTTTTTTTAAAAAAGTGGAACCTTATTAGCATGTCATGTAAGTAGCTTAATAGCATGTCATGGTAAGTAGTTAAAGATAACATAAAAAGGTACCTCTGTTATTGTAAAGTCTCATAAGCACTGTTTATAATTTCTGAAATATTTTAAACAATTTCCAAAATGTGCTGAGTTCTGAATCTTTTTACCAACATTTCTGTTATTACTACTACTACTGATAATAATGAAGAAAGTATGCTCAATAATTTAATAATTTGTTCTATCCAGCTTCTCGATATGGCATTTTATCAAAAGTTAAACTCTATCGATAAAATTTTAATATATGAACAAAATATTTTACTTTACAGATTTCATATTTACTAGCAATACTGATGTCCTACTCCAGAAAGTCTGTGACGTATTTCCGGGAACAGCTTGACCAGTGGAATGGTGACGTGTCTTTGGTCAGTCTCGCTGCCATCAGGCGGGCTGGTTCCTTGCCTGGCATTCCGCACTGGTTCCCCGCGCCGTCATGGTGCATCCCAAAACTGGTCAAACCACAGGGGATATCAGAACGGGAGAGAGAGAGAGAGAGAGAG